AAGGGCATGTACCTTGGTTGCGGTCACATCCCTAGTAGGGGGTGTGCAGGAGGCAGCTGATTGATGTTTCTCTCATCGATGTTTTCACTCTCTATCCCTCTCCCTTCCTCTCTGTAAAAAAAATCAATAAAATATATTTTTAAAAAGTGACAAAGACGGAAAGGTTTGTGCCTATCATGGGCAATGTCAACACACACCATCCAGAGGGAACATCCTCCTTCCATATTGTTTCCCATTCCTTTCAAATTCTACTTCATTCGTCTCTGCGGAGCTGTACAGATAGCAATCATTATGAGAGTCATTTCCATGTGAGGGCCATTTTCTCTCATTTTCTGCTCTTGCTGGGACTTTGCCTATGTTGTGATTATTTTTCCTGGTTGCTACTTCTTCCATTGCAAAAACAATTTTTATGTTCTTTTAATTCTTCCTTTCCCTATAGTGAGACAATTACTGTAAAAGATTGGCTTCATTCAGTACCTGACCCAGACTGGGACTAGAAAGAGAACGTCTCGAGTCTCCTTACTTCCGAAACCTGGCTGTTAGCTGTCTCCAGCTCAGTGACACTTACAATTATTCCAGAAAAATTACACTTGCATTTCATTTTTGTTTTAATCACTTTCTCCCTCCTGTCTCCAATCTTTTCTCAGTCCTTCAAGACATCTTATTTTTTGAGACACCTAAACACATTTTAATAAGAAGAAAAAGCCAAATCCAGGTTACATATTGTATGATTCCATTTATATGACATTCTACAAAGCCAAAGGTATAGGAATGGCAAAAATATTAGTACCTGGATGTGAGAAGGGAGAGTGGCTGACTACAGAAGGGACAAGGAATGAGAACTGTTCTCCTCAGTACTGGGTGTAAATACATGACTGTCTGCATTCGTCAAAACACTGTCAACTAACTGTACACGACAAAGAGTGAATTTGAAAGTATGCAAACTCAATGAACAAGCAAAACACATCAACCAGATAGATGTCTCTCCCCCCAGTCTCCCTTCCTCTCTGAAGTCAATAAAAATATATTTTTAAAAAATACAAGAATCTATACATAACCTTTATACTCAGTAAATTTTTCACAGAGATACAGGCTAACAATTCTGAAACTGCTTTCCATGTGTACTGGGGTTGATCAAATCAATAAATGGATGAAAGAAGGTGGGAGCCAGGTTTCTCACTGTCAGCAAGGGCAGTTACAGATAAACAAGAGAGAACAGAATGAGTCCTGTGGATTCACTGGATTCTAGAATGAACCCATGTGAATTCTAAACCCTGGATTAGTGTCAGAGACATCAGTATGAACTACTGTTTAGCTTAATATAGATGCAAATGGATAGGTAAAGAAACAACTATAGATATGTCTGTATATACATGACTTAGTATATATATTACCTAGTTCTGTCTGAGAAGGCCTAGAGGCAATGATATTCCAGTAGCAACAAACACACCTAGTGCCAGATCTTAGTTCCTAAATACCACTCTCCAGGAAAAGGAATCAGGGCACATTGGCGAAATGGCTGATCCTAGGCCTAGGACAGGAAAAATACAAGATGAGCCAAGAGCCTCTTGTAGCACCAGAAAGTAGGCAAGTGCTAAAAAACCCAAAAGGATGTGACACCTCAATGAGACATAGAAACCAACCTCAAATAGTTCCAATGGCCAAGCTAGAATATGAGCAAAAAGATAAATAAAATGTAGTGCTGAATTATAACTCAAACTATAAATATTCATACGTCCATACCATATATATAAATAAATGGGGGAGAAAAGACGAATCTTCCTTACATAATCGCAAATACAGTAAGTCCTCACCTAATGTTGTCAAAAGATTCGATGACTTTAAGTCAGTGGTTGGCAAACTCATTAGTCAACAGAGCCAAATGTCAACAGTACGATGACTGAAATTTCTTTTGAGAGCCAAATCTTTTAAACTTAAACTATATAGGTAGGTACATTGTTATTAACTTGATTAGGGTACTCCTAAGCTGGTCTTTGCTAAAAACGTCCTCAATCTGATTGAGGTACATTCGCTGAGGTCAACCCCTTCCAACTCTCCCATCCACTCTCGTCTTGTACACT